TCACAAACAAAGTTTGATAAGCTTAAAGATGATCGCCACAAGAATTAATAAATTCTTAGGATTTTCTTACTTTGACAAAAACCAATTATTGTCTCTCTTCTCAATTCAACAATCATAAATATAAATTTAAGATTTTCTTAGGGTTTGACTTTGTTTGTAATTAAATAAAAGGAAAAGAAAACTAAAAAAATTATAAGCAAAGTTAATTTGCTTCGAATGAAAAATTAATTAAATATTAGACTAATGATTTTGGGTTTAAATCCTAACTTAACCAAAAAAAATAAAATATCTTTATTTTAACTTTTCAAGCCTATTACCCATTACACATGTAACCAACTTAGCCTTCTCACTTGAGCCTTTGACTCTTGGACCTCCCATAAAAGAATCACCTTCTGTTAAATTTCTTAGGTCTTTCTAACTTTTTCTCTAGTTATTGATTTAATTAAGTCTTCAATTAGATCTTCATCTTTCTTCTCATGACCTTAGTTTTTTATGTTCACATCACATGTGATGAACATTTTGTTGTTGAATGGGTGGGTAACCAATTAAATATGCAAAAACAGGTGAAGCACAAACATAGGAGTATCGTGCAGACCTAAAATACTATTAGTGGCTGTGTGGTGTTGAATTGAGATGTAGTAGATAAGGAGGGAGCAAGATTTGTTATAGGAGTTGTATGAGATATGATTGGAACAATAAGGGAGGTGTTGGGTTCAAAGGATTAATTTGCAATTTATATGAATTTTTTTTTGTTAAAAACATGTCTAGAAATATGGATTTTCCCTATTAGAGGCAGATAAACATACCCTTTGAAATTAGGAGTATATACAAGAAACAAGCATAGAAATGATCTTAAAGTAAGTTTATTTGGGTGCAATATAGGATAATAGACACAACAAATTTTTTTAAGAAAATTATAATCTGGTGATTTATTAAAAAGAACATTTTACAAAGATGAATTATTAACACAAGCATAGGCAACATGTTACTAATAAAAACTGCAGAAGATACTTCACCCCAATATTTCATTGGCAAAGAACATTCAACAAGTAAAGATAAACTAACATCAATAACATGTATGTTTTCTCTCAATACAACCATTTTTTTTTTCATGAGTATAAGGGCAAGTTAAACAATGAAAAAAAATACCATACTCACACAAAATATCAGAAAAATAAAAAAACTCTTTGGCATTGTCTGTTTGAATGCCCTTTAATTTGTAACAAGTTTAATTTTTCAAAAACACTTTGAATAATTTGAAAATAGATAAAGCTTGGGATTTTGAATGTATTAAATATGACCATGTATAATGTAAGTAAGCATCAAGAAATGAGATATAATATCAAGCACCACATGAAATAGTAATAATGGATGACCCCTATATGTCAATAAAAACTAATTGTAACGGTGTAGTATAGACAATGTGTGATCTTGAAAATGGAATCTAATGAGATTTAGCAAAGATACATGATTCACAAAACAAATTATGTTTATTACAAAGATATATTGCAAGCAGTAAATATACATTGAACAAATTTGAGAGGATGCATGGCCAAGCCTGGAATGCCAAAGTTTGAACTAAGACATCAAGCTTATATGTAGTAATATTTATAGAATAATTATTTGAGTTGATAAAAGATGGAAAAACATATAAACCATCTTTATCATTTCCTTTAAGAACAATTTCCTTGGTTACTTGATTTTTAACATAGTATTTATCATAGTGAAATTCAAAAAAGACATTATTGTCTTTAGTAAACTTAGAAACGCTCTTGTAATTTTTGGGATATGTAAAAGATTGTTCAACCAAACCTGTGTTTATGTATGTGGAATATTAAAACGTGTAGAACCAACATGAGAGATGCACATATTTGTTGTAATATAATGCATGACTCTACTGTCGGGATACCAAAGTGGGTCATTGAGTGTGGAGGGTATGTCAAGAAGAGACGATTCATCGTCATCTAAAGGAAAAACTTTAGAAGAATTAGTGGTTATAGAAGAAGAAATCCTTATCATACGTGTGTCAACAATCCAGAGTAACATGACCAGTTTTCCCGCAAATTTGACATTGAATCCTATTATTCTGATAATAGTTGGAGTTGATCGAGATTTTATTATTGTTCTTGAAAGACGACCTTAAACTTGTTATTGGTCCTAAACTTGCCACATCAACTTTAACTTGAAGAAAATCTTGAAAAATTTCTTGAACTATTGTTGGACATAGAAACTACATTGGCCTACATAAATTGTTGTTCCTGAATTTGGTGTTTTTCAAAACATTCTTCTTGGGCCAATATAAGTGTTTCAATGTCTTTAATATTATAAGGGTCAACTATTGAAGTAACAAAGGTGATAAAACTATCATAATCTTACAACAATAAACTATTGAAGACAACATCAATATGATTATTAGGAGTGATTGAAGAAGCCGTGACATCCAATATATCCACTATTTTGTTGATATCAAGAAGATAGGGTGTGATTGACCTATCTTTCTTTGGTTGGCAGAGTTGAACCTTGAGTTCTTTTTTACTTTGACTCTTTGAGTAGCATAATATGAGTGCATCCGATCCCAAATCTAAGAAGAGGTTTGAAGATCCACCATCTTAATGAGTATAAGCGTTGATGTCAAAAGTCAAGTGACTAGAAGTTAATCTAGTTATTCGTGATTGCGAAAATCTTGAGAAACAATATTATTTACAACATCATTATTGTTTGAGAATCGTGGTAGCATGCAAGAGCTTTCCAAGAAATGCATGAGATTTAAGACCTTGAACAATAGCAAGAACTTTTTATTACCAAATCAGATAGTTGTCATTATCTAGTTTGAGGTTGATCGGTGTATTAAAATAAGAGAAAGAAAGGAAGATCAATTAGTAAAAGGGACTAGAATAACATCATAGACAAAAGTAAGAGTCATGGTAACAAAAAATTGGCTCTAAATATCATAAAAGATAACAAGAGAAAAATAAAATAAAATTTAGATGATAGTTTCACCCACAAATACTTATATAATAATTTTGAAAAACTAAATCTTAATTAACTCATACTCAAAGTCATATAACATAAACAACTCTATTAAGACATGTATAAAAATAAAGATAAATAAATTTGTTGAATTTAATTTCTCTAATAATACATATAGATTTATTTAAAGATAAAAATTGTTTATAATTTTTTATTTTAACGTGAGTCTAATATTAAAAAATAAATCATAATTATTTATATAAATTATTTTAATACATTCTTAACAATTGTAGTAATAATATTTATTTTAAAATAATATTTTTATTAAAGAAACATTTATGTTATATTACTAATAAAATAATAAGAGTGCTTCTTACGTTTTAAAAAAAGAATATACTTATCTTTAAATAATTGATTGTAACAGTACATGTTTGAACAAAATCCCAGTCTTTAAAAAGGAAAATTTATAAAAAATTGAAATAAATATTTTTGAGACTAAATTAAATTATATATAAGTTAGAAATATATATATATATATATATATATATATAACTTATATATAAAATTATTCTAAAAATTATATTAAGCATTTTAGTTTTAAATTTTTGGATATTCATATGAAAAAAGAGTTTTTAGAAAATATAAAATAAAAGAAAATAGTTGATTCTTTTTTTATCACAATAATTTTATGATTATATGTTTTTTTTATTAATTTTAAAAATCACAATTAAGATATTTGTGTACGTGACATTTGTAATTTAATTTCGCAAGTTTTAACCAGTTAGAGAAACAAAAAGGAAAAGATTGAGTTTGGGTTTGAAAAATTTTGAATTTAAATTTGACAGGGTATTGGAGGGTGGGCGTCGGACTCCAAATAAACATTTGATTTTGGTTAAAGGTTAAGAAGACGCAACGATATCCAGATTTTATTATTATTTAAGTAAAAAGGAAAAAAATAAAAATAAAAAGAGAAAAGGTTGAAAATTTTTGAATGTGATTGGTGGGTGAGTTTCGGATTCGAACCACACATTTAAATTTTGTTAACACAAAAGAGAAGAGAAGGTTATCCACAAACACAACTTTTCACGTGTGAGCGACACCTACCTCTTTCTCTTCCAACCCCACCACTCTCCAAAATTCAAAACTTTTAATTTAACCCCCACACCACTTAATTTAATAAAATAACCTTCAATATCTCAGGACAATTGCACACATAATAATTAAATAAAATAAATATTAATTCTTTTTATTTAATAATAATTACTCTTCTCTCCTTTAACTCATGCGTTAAAATGTGTACTTTACGTTAAATTTGATAAATATACTTGATTAATTAATGAAACACGATCCTCGAGGACATGAAGTTTGTACTAGGATAAGTTAACTGAGAGGCACGTGTCACTCTAGTCAAGAAAGAGAAGACGTGGGATAAAATATATTTATTAAATAATAATTATTTGAAATAATTATATTTAATATTATTGAAATATTTTATTTAATTATTATTAATATTAATTATTTTATTAAATCTTTAATTATCATTAATTAAAATAATTAATTTTAGTACATTAATTAATTATATTTAATATATGAGAAATTAACTATCATGTTGAAAACTTCTTAAAGTGAATTTCTTATAAAATAAAACATTTTGTTAAATTAAAAAAATTGATATTATATAAAAATTAAATAAATTTTTTTAATGATATTAGGTATCAATATTTACTAAAATGACTGTAAAAAACATAATTTAACAGTGAATGAATTAATAATTAAATGAAATGAAGTTTATGTGGGGAGAGTTGATTGGAGGGTGAGGGAAGGAGGTGTGAGAGGGGTGGGTGAGTTTAGGAAAGCCCGATCTGGAATTGAATTTTGGACAGTTTGAGAGAGAAAGGGGGCAGAGAGAACCATATCCTAATTTAACACTTTATGCACTCTTTTTTATTTTTAATTTAATTTTTTGTTTTGTTGGAATTGTGAGAGGCAGACCAGAGCAGGTAGTTCGCAAAGTCAGTGTGAGAAGCGGAATGGAGAGCGAAACTCAAAGTGCAGGCAAAGATGAGGTCTTTTCGGTTGAACTTTCAGCTCCTTCTGCTTGGAAGAAACTGGTCTCTTCTCATTCCTCTCTCTCTCTCTCTCTCTCTCTCTCTCTCTCTCTATATATATATATATATATATATATATAAATTTAATTTTTAAATTTTCATCTTTATGGTTTTGTCATTCCATGATTTTAGCCTCTATTTATTAATTTTTTTAAATGAATATATGTAAGCTTTCAATTTTCCTGGTTTTTGATGGTATTTTCTCATTACATGTTTTCTGTATTTTTTTTTAATTTAAATTGTTGGAGAATTTGGCGCTAATTCTTGTTGAAAGTTTTATCTGACAAGAATCACCTTGTGCTAATGGTACCTTGTTTGAAAAAAAAAACCTATGGTTTTAATATTTTTGTAGTGTAAACGATTGGAAATATTCGGTGTGAATTTTGTTTTTAGGGTTTCTGGAAAGGGATGACCTTGTGATAATGGGGCCTTTCTCTTTTGGTAAAGAGAAAGTCTGGTGTTTTAATTTTTTTTTATATATATATATTTATATATATGTGTGTGTGTGTGTGTGTGTGTGTGTGTTTTGGAAGAATTTGGTGCTAAATTTTGATTCTAGGGTTTTCCGGAAAGGGATTACCTGCGATAATGGTGTTTTATTTTTTTGATTTGAAAGAATTCGGTGGCAAATTTTGTTTCTAGAGTTTTCCGGATAGGACTTGTAATAATGGTATCTATTTTATTTAAATCAAATTATGCTGTTAATTTTTTTTAGTATAATTATTTAGAAGAATTCGGTACTGAATTGGGTATCTAGGGTTTTCCCTAAAGGGCTAACCTTGTAACGACAGTTTTTTTTTTTTTTTTTAATTCTTGTGGTTTTAGTTTATAATTCATTATGGTAACACTGATTTCAATTCCTACTTTCTTGCCAAAGTTTTTTACCTCATTTTTTTTTCCTGTTCGTTTTAATTTTGTTGCCTTTGCAATCTTCCCCTTGCTTTCATTATAATCCCTGCACAATTTTCCTGAAAAAATATTAGACGATTCTGGGCATCTCACAGTAAAATGTTGAAGGCAATGGCTGTTTTTATCTAGTATCATGTCATGTTTCCATGATTTATGATTGTATTTAGATCTGTGCTTTTGCTAACTAGCGTCGTGGCTTTTGAGCTTTTCAGCGTGTTGTGGGATTCTATTCCATTGCTGCACCCTTCCTTATTAGATTCTGAAGTGCAATTTCACTATCTGATAAATCTTTTAAAAAATATGCTATGGAAACTCTTGAACCCTTTAGGAGCTATGTTGATTGATTTATTTTAGATCCTATTGTTAACTGAAGCTACTAATAAAAGGCGAATTTTTGAGGTAAATATTAATAGCGTGTTTGAAATCTCCTTGGTAATGCACATATACTATCTCCGTCCCAAAATAACTGCAGTCTTAGGCCTATAAAAAGTTCCAAAATGATTAAGTTTTTTCTTCTTAATACATACTCAAATCAATGACTCTCTTTCTTATTTACAGTAATTTATTTATGGAAAGAGTGAATTATTTTGGGTAAAATTGTTTCAAAAAATAGTCTATTTATTTTTGTTCTTAATTCGTGTGTGATAATCTTGAACTGCAGTAATTGTTGAACGGAGCTAGTATCTCATCATAAAAAGATGTGGAAGTGACATGGAGTTGCTTTCACTAGTGATGCAATTTACCAGACATGCACTAACTGACTTGTTGTAGACTAAGCTATTTATTGTACACAAATTCATATATGTAGATGATTCTTGAACTCTATCAGTAAAAAGGCTATTGTTCACTGTTGAATTCTGAAGTTGATAAACCTTACTGGTACAGTAGGGTTGCTTATAATATTTGTACTATATGGAAATTGTTCTGTGATCCTTATTTTAGTTCCACTCTGCAGTTCTTTCCTAAGAAAGTAGGAACTCCAAGGAAAAGTGAGATTGTGTTCATAGCCCCTACTGGGGAAGAAATCACTTCCAAAAAGCAATTGGAGCAGTACCTAAAGGCACATCCTGGGAATCCTCCAATCTCGGAGTTTGACTGGGGAACTGGTGAGACCCCTAGGCGATCAGCAAGGATTAGTGAGAAGGTCAAATTGACTTCACCGGCGGAGACTGAGCCTCCAAGGAAACGATCCCGGAAATCATCAGGTTCATCAAAGAGGGATAACAAAGAAAACGAACCCGCAGATGAAGAATCCAAGCCAGATCCAGATGGAACTGATAACAACAACAAAACAAAGGCTGATACAGAGGAGATTAATAACAGTACTGTTGAAGTGCAGAATGCAACAGCTGAAAAGCCTGAGGGAGGAGAAGAAGCATTGTTAGTAGAATCACGGGAGAAATTTGCTGGGGAAGCTTTGAATGCAGAAGTCACTGAAAAACCCCAACAGGAGGAGATCACTGAAAAGCCCCAAGAGGAGGAGGTCACTGAAAAGCCCCAGGAGCAGGAGGTTGCTGAAAAATCCCAGGAGCAGGAGGGTGCTGCAAAGCCCCAGGAGCAGGAGGTTGCTGAGAACCCCCAAGAGGAGGAGGCACCAATTGCATCAGGAAAAGAAAATGGCACAGTTGATGACAGTAAGCAGGACATAGCAGATACTGTGATTCCTGAGACAAATGGAGGAGCTGAGAAAGTGAACCTGAACCCAGATGTTGAAGAGAATAACAATGCAAAAGAAATCCCATTAAGTGATGGAAAAGACAACATTCAAGCTGAGGAGCAAGTAAATAAAATGGTGGACAATGGACAAGTTATTTGGAGCTGTGCTCAGTGAAAGTCCATCAGTAGTGATCTTCTTCTTCCCTTCATCTGTAAGCTGCTGAAATGTATCTTACTAATATAGGTGGTGACTTTTGTAATGTTATTCTAGTTGCTGTAGTTGTTTTATGACTTCCTGGATAATTTAAGTTTTGTACTCTGTCTTCAGATTTGGTTGTATCTAGGATGAACATCAAACGCCTATCACTCTTAGATTAGATCTTTTGGTTTTACCTTAGTAGTGCAGTTGTGAACTTTCATTGTAGGCTTTTGGCACACACATTTGTGTTAGGAATTAATTGTTTTAAACTGCTTCATTTCTTTACCTGTTTTCAGTACTCTGAGATTTTTATCTTTTGCTAGGTTTTTATTGTCTTCTTTGTTTTTGCTGTTGACAGTTATTATAAGAATAGTCACCTCGATTGGGTAAAATGTAAAATGACGAACTTTTTGGTAGGTAATATAAAAACCAAGATTTCATTTGGATATTTTTAATATTTATTTATTTTTGAATTAAATGCAAAATCATATTAATCTATTTATTCTTTATACAATATAATCTATGTATTGTAATAAATAATATTTATTAAATAAATTATGTCTGAAAAAGTCTTGGATGCCAGATTCATGTCAGTGTGTTATCTACTTATGAACCTCCATGAGTTTGGGAATCTAAATTATCCACAGCATTTATGGTGTGTTTTCTAAAAGAAAGGATGAAATTGCATGTCCCTAGGTTCTAACAAATGAGCTATCAACCAGAGAAAGAAAACTCTACCAATGGTTAAAATTTGTGACATGTCAGACCATTAATTGAGTTTATCTGATGAACTCTAATTAGTTGATTTGTCTATGTTAAACTAGAATACAAATAATGATCATTGATTTAATTAATGATTTTTCATTTAGGATCCTCAACCTTTTTGCAAGATTATTTATTTCTAAGGTTATGTAAATTGGACTTTTATAATTTTGCTTTTCTCTCTTTTGGTTCATTCCAAATTTAATACCCAAATTAGCACAAACTGTGTCTAATGTTGTCATCATATTTTTGGTAAATATATTAAAGTGATGGTAAAATTTACCAACAAAAAGAGGAAAGAAAAAAAAAAGTTTAGCACTGATAGCTATAACAGAAAGAGAAAAAAGAGTTTCAATAGAAGGAAATAAAAAGAAGGAAAATGATAATAATAAATTTGTTTTCTCATCATATATTCTCTTTAAAATCATGTCCTTTTTATGTTTAACATGAACACTAGTTTAAACAGCTTCAAAAAGTCACATGTCTTTTAGGATTGTTGACTATATTATGTTGGATGCACATTCAAACATATTATAAATAAAACTATTAACTATAGATAATTTATTTCAATTAACTTGGAAATTAAAAATTGAATGAGAAGAAACTTCAATCTCGTTTTTTACTTAAATAAGAAAAGTTATAAAAAACCTAATTCTATAACAACCATATCCAAATTTTTCTTGTCTCTTTGTACAAGTTCCCATATGAAATGTGTGGGAAACTCTAAAGATTGACATGTTGTGCATGGCTAGTGCTCTGAAGTCTAACCCTAACTCGTGAGGCCACGAAAGGTATTGATGACCAATTTACACATCCTTCGTGTCTGGCTTGATGCCCCTGCTAGCTATGCTGCAGACACATTCAGTTGATCAAAATTACAAAAAGGTATACTTTAAAGGGTGGTGAAAGGAAGAATATATTCCAAGTCGCTGAAAACATCCCTGTTTTGTAATTCAACATCTTTTGTTTAAGGCTAAGAATCTTATTCAAATATTTTAGTCATCATCTTTTGACAAAAAGCTAGGAATCTTTAGTTTATGGCATTCCTGGAGGAAAAGTTTTGCATCACTCCGAGGATTGCCTATGATTTCTTCACCAATGAAGTTACGTTATTGAATTACATATTACAGGGAACCCACATCATTTCTATGAGTGGAATGCTCTATCATTCTTAAAATCTTCACACTGCAGACCATGTTGCCTTACTCAAGTTCCTTCTTTCTTTGCCTTCTCTTCTTTTCTGTAACATTTTCTCATGGTGTGTATTCCTCTTCCTAGAATCATCTTTAAACTTTATTTTTCTTCTAAAAGTTGAAGCTTCCACTTCATTGTGGATAGTTACCAACTTTGCAATGACCATTTTATAAGAATTTTATTTCTATGCATGATCAGTAACTGGGAACCAATTACAAATCATAAAAAAAATAAAAAAATACTACTTTTGAAGTAGTTATTATGAAAGCTAATAAATTTAACGTAGTTATATATTATACTGCCCTGGCATAGATTATTTCCTCTTTGATACCATGCGCAGATTTTTGTTTAGCATTTAGTTTTGCGAAAGTTTATGTTATTTTTATGCATTGTTTTGAATGACATGGGTTTTAAATTTTAACCATGTTTTCGTATTCTTGTGTGGTGCAGTTTTTGGGGATAAAATATTTACTGGAACATATGGAGTAAACTATGGTAGGATTGCAGACAATCTACCTTCTCCTCATAGCGTGGTTACCCTTCTCAAAGCTGCCAAGATTAGGAACATCAGAATATATGATGCTGATCATCAAGTCCTGAGTGCCTTCAAAGGGTCAGGGATTGCAATTGTTATAGGGCTACCGAATGAGTTTCTGAGAGACATAAGTTTGGGGGAGGATCGTGCCATGAATTGGATCAAAGAAAATGTTCAGCCATTTCTTCCAGGAACCAGAATTCGTGGCATTGCTGTGGGGAATGAAATATTAGGAGGAGGAGATATGGGGCTGTGGGAAGTGTTGCTGCCAGCAGCTAAAAATGTGTACACTGCACTAGATAGGCTCAATTTGGCACATCAAATTCAGGTGTCAAGTCCACATTCTGAGGCTGTGTTTGCAAATTCCTACCCTCCATCTGCATGCACTTTTAGGGACGATGTGCTCCCTTTCATGAAGCCCCTCTTGCAATTCTTCTCACAAATTGGCACTCCCTTCTACATAAATGCATACCCCTTCTTGGCCTATAAGAATGACCCCGAACACATTGACATAAACTATGCTCTCTTCAAGAAAAATCCAGGGATTTATGATGCCAAGACTAAACTGCACTATGACAACATGTTTATGGCCCAAATTGATGCAGCTTATGCAGCCTTGGAGAAAGTTGGGTTTGACAAGATGGAGGTCATTGTCTCTGAGACTGGTTGGGCCTCTCGTGGGGATCAGAACGAACCTGGTGCAACACTGAAAAATGCAAAGACTTACAATAAAAACTTGAAAAAGCTATTGTTCAAGAAAAAGGGTACCCCTTATAGGCCTAAGATGGTTGTGAGGGCTTATATTTTTGCCTTGTTTAACGAAAATTTGAAGCCTGGCCCAACATCTGAGAGAAACTTTGGATTGTTCAAACCAGATGGAAGCATTGCATATGATATAGGCTTCACTGGACTTGTTCCTTCCTCAGCAACCTCCTCTTTTCTTTCCTTCAAGGTATGCATGCTCATATACTTTGTATTACAACTTCTATGAATTATACTTTGCATTTAAAGAGTTTTCAGTTTTAAATTTACAGTGTTTAATATATTTTAAATTATAACTATCAGAAAAATGTGTTAATAGTATGAACACAATGAATGCTGATGATGCAGCAATTATGCTTTTGCAGGGTATTGGATCTTTATATGTAATGGTTTCTACAAGTTGTGCTGCTTTTCTTCTTCTTGTAGCATTATAAGCAGTCATAAGATTGAATGTACAAGTGAATTCAATGATTCTTTGGATGTAACAATTTTCAGAACTCACAAGCAATTCAAATTGTGGAAATTCCAAAGTACAGATCATCTCCATGTCTACCAGATTAACCTTTTTTTAATATATATAATAACTTTTAAAAGGCTGTATCAACTGTATTTATATAACACTTTTTTTTCTTGACAATAAACAAGTGTTTGTTTATTGTTGTTATTTATCCTATACAAAAAATCTTAAATAATATCCAAAAACTTGTGCAATTACTCGCATAAAAACAGTGCACTGCTTTTTGACCACAATCGCGATCACAAATACAGTTCAGGTTTTCTTAAATGTGTTTTATGAGTTTGTGTTTGGAGTGAAAAAATTAAATTGTTTATGTATACTTAATAAAAATTATAATTGTTTATATTTATAATCATTTTTTCACTTTGTTTCTTAAAAAGTGAGTTTAAGATAATTTAATTTAAAATATCTAATAAGGTGACCTTTAACTATTTGACCACTTGTTCCCGATATATAAATCAGACATTAAATTATTATTACATCTTCTACCATCTTTGTTAGTAAGATTCCCAAATAAAACATTGTGAATAAAGAAAATAAAAGTCTTTTCTTTTTATTCGTCCACCAATCATTTTAAATTCGATTATTAAATTGGTGATGAGTCCAAGATTTAAAGGTTTAACTAAATTTTATTCATATTGAATCGAATTTAATAAAATTATATAATAAATTGATTAATAATAATATTAAAAAATTAAATATAAAATATATTAAAAAATATAAAATAAATAATTATTAAAATAAAATAAAAATATAATAAAATAATTATTATTTAAATTTGACATCAAAATAAAAAAATTATATTAAAAGATTAATATAAATTTTTTTACTAAAATTGGTTTAATCTAATCTAATTGATTTTATCCTAAATATATATATATATATATATATATATATATATATTAATTTAATTAAAATTTGATTATTTAAAAACAATAAATTGATTTCTGCGATTCACCGCTAAAACGATCAACCATTTCTCCAATTCAATAAATGAAAGTGCACTTTACTTGAATTCTCCCTAATTTTGGGCATTTGGAAATTTTCACACTCAAAATAGATAAAAAATAAATATGATTATAAGAATTTAATGAAAAGTGTAAGAGAAAAATAACTATAGTGAGTTAAAAAAAAAAAATCAAATTTCGTTGAAATGATGACTAAAAATCACGTGTTACACTAGTATACCTGAATGTAGTAAAAACAAAATAATTATTAAAAGATAAATTATTATTTTAAATTATTAAAAAAATAATTATGAGAATGAAATATTAATATCTTATTTTTCGACATAAATAAATACTTGGTATATGTAAGAAAATAGTTTTTTATTTTGAAAGAAAAAGTTAGAGACTTATTCTTACTTTTATAATTATTTTGAGAATAAATTACTATTTTAAAATATTAGATGAAATTTTTTTTATAAAAATAAAAACAAGATTTTAATTCTTACTATATTTTTTTCCCACCCTCTATATATATATATAGAGAGAGAGAGAGAGAGAGAGAGAGAGAGAAAAAGGGGACCCATTTATTGTCCAAGTAAAAGCTATATACTTATTTTTCATTTTCTTTTTTTTTAATTTAAATTTAGAATAAATTGCCATTTTAAACATTACATTAAAAAATAATATTAATGAAAAATAAATCTTCCGCCCTTTATTCGATCATAACTAGATTTCTTCGAAGGAGAAAAAAAATTAGATGAACAAAGTCAAATAAATGAATATTTATAATTAAAATTAATTATTATTAAAATAATATATTATATAAAATTACTAAAAGATTATAAATTATTTACGTATGTTTCATATTAACGTAAAAAGTTATATATATATATATATATATATATATATAATATTTGATATTTTTAATTATGTTGTTTGATATTGTTAGATATTATTTAAATATTATTTGATATTGTTAAGATATTGTTAACCACGATATCAAACAATATCTTTTGTTTATTCTGTTGATATCTTGTTTATTCTGTTACTTTCAGTTACTCTTTTAGTTGTATCTTTCTACTATAAATATACTATCCTATGTGTGATTTATACACAAGGAAGATTAATCTCAAACTCTATTTCTTTTATATTCAACATGGTATCTAGAGCTTAAGATTATTTAGAAATTTTTTCGCCTTTGACCACTGTTGGAGCCGCCACCACCGCCGTTATTGCTGTCGGTTAAACTGATCTTCCACATCAGAAAAATGCTATTTTTGTTACTGGATATTATTTAGTAGTGTGAAAGTGCATGTCTAGGAAGGTTCTGACAAGGAAAGACTTGGTATTTAAGCGTGTCCATAGTGACCCACCTCTCTTTCCTGGGAACTTACCAGATGTACTGGTTCACGCCGCTGTCACTATCGTCTTCGCCGCCTCCGTCCTTTATCACTTCTTCCGCTCCTTTTAGTACTTCCAATTCTATTAGTACTGCGTCTGATCCTTCCATCTACACTAACTATGTTAATGTGCACTTATCTATTGACAAGTTAACTGACCCTAATTATGCCACATGGTCATCAGACGTCAGATTATGGCTTAAAAGTCAGAAGTATCTTGATCATCTTGCCCCGAAAGCACCAACTCTCACTCCTGGTGAGAAAGACCGTTGGGACACCATTGATGCTCAATTATGTGTGGTTCTCAAGGGTACTCTTGATCCTTCGTTAAAACAAATTTTTCGTTCCTACGAAACATGTGCCAAAATTTGGGAACATGCCAAGTTATTATACACCAATGATACTCAACGTCTCTATGATGTCTGTTCTAAATTTGTAGATGTTATTGCCTCTAAAATCAAGATTCTATGACTGATTATATGGGTAAAGTTCATGCTCTTTTTCATGAGTTCAATGAGTTATTGCCTCCTTCCCCCGACCCTGCCACTGAGATAGCACAACGATCAAAGTTCTTCATGCTAGGAGCATTACACGGACTTGTTGATCAATAATCACATATTCGTGATCAGATTTTGGGTTCTTCGGTTGTCTCCACCTTGACATCGACATGCTCCACTCTTTTACGTATACCAGCAAAACCCAACCCTGACACACCTACTTCTGTTAATGATTCTTCTACATTGGTATCTCACCGTGATGACCGAACTCGCCCTTACAAACAAAGAAAAGGGCGTCCTAAGGGTGAACATTGTGGCAAGCTAGGTCACAAGATTGACCAGTGTTATGCATTACATGAGTGTGAACATTGTGGCAAGCTAGGTCACAAGATTGACAAGTGTTATGCATTACATGGTTGTCCTCCTCGATCTGCTACAGTTGCTCAGACTGATCTTTCCCCACTTTTATCTGCTAAGGATCCTCCTTCTTCTATTTCATCAGACACACTTGTTATGTTCAACAAATTTCTCAAATGGTATAAAAATCAACAGTCTTCTAGTGTCACTGTGTCTGTCGCACACACAGGTACATCTTTTGCTGGTCTGACCCAATCTTCTTCTGGTCCTTGGGTTTTTGGTTCAGGAGTCACTGATCATATTACTGGTAACAAATCTTTGTTCTCCTCTTTATCCTCTCCTGATCCTTTACCTTTTGTTACACTGGCTGATGGCTCTAGAGTATCATCTCATGGTGTTGGAACTTTTAAACTTTTCCCTTCTTTAACCATTGATAATGTTCTTTATGTCCATGGGTCTCCTTTTAACCTGTTATCCATCAGTCGTCTAACTCGTTCTCTTGATTGTGTTGTTTCTTTTACCAACAATTCTGTGTGTTTACAAGACCAGAGTTCAAAACAGGTGATTGACACAGGATGTGAGTCTCATGGTCTTTATCATCTTCGTCCATTTACACATGTTGGTGCAGTTATAGAGTCTCCCTCTCTTCTCCATGCTCAGTTAGGTCATCCAAGTCTTGTCAAGTTACAGCAACTTGTCTTTGCCTTATCTAAATTGTCTAGTTTGACATGTGAGTCGTGTCAATTAGGCAAACATAGTCGTACTTTTTTTCCTCGTAGTTTTACACATGGTGCTTCATTCCATTTTACTGTGGTTCACTCTGACATTTGGGGACCTAGCCGCGTTAAGTCTACTTTAGGTTTTCAATACTTTGTTACTTTCATTGATGATTATTCCAGATGAACTTGGTTATTTTTTATGAAAAAACGTTCTGAATTATTTCATATCTTTCAAACTTTTTTCAATGAAATTCAAACTCAGTTCGGTGTTTCTATTAGAGTTTTGCACAGTGATAATGATCGTGAATATCTTTCTCATTCTTTTAAACAATTGATGGCTTCTCATGATATTTTACATCAAACTTATTGTGCTTATACACCTCAACAAAATGATGTAAATGAACGTAAAAATATACATCTTATTGAAACAACTCGCACTCTTTTAATTCTTGGAGAGGTTCCTCAACATTTTTGGCGTGATGCTCTTCTTACTGCATGTTATCTCGTTAATCGCATGCCATCTTCGGTTTTAGATAATAAAATATCTCATTCCATTTTATTCCCTTATGAACCACTTCATCCCTTACCTCTAAGAGTTTTCAGGTCTACATGTTTTGTTCATAATTTCAGTTCTGGTCTTGACAAGCTTTCTCCTAGATCACATAAATGTGTTTTCTTAGGGTTTACAAGATCACAAAAAAGATACAAATATTTTTCTCCTTCTCTTAACTGTTATTTTGTGTCTGGAGATGTCACATTTGATGAGTTCTCTTTTTATTTTAAAAGTCAATCTTCACCTCTGTCTCCATCCAATCTTGTCAACACTCCTAGTACATTTAATGTTCCTGTTATTTGTGACCCTCTAACTGTGTCTTCTTCACCATTAGTTTCTGCTCCACAGTCAACTTCTTCTTCACTGCCTCTTCAGGTTTCTAGTTACCGAAACCAATCACAACTACCACCATGTGACTCTACTCAAGTATCAACTACTCTGTCT